AAAAATGGAACATGTGCAGATAGGCAAGCATATAAAAAGAAATACAAAAAAATTCCTGTTTAGAACTGATGCCTGTTCACTGCAAAATGGGTGCCAAGACCTCGTTTGTCTTGCACCAGGCTTGTTTATAGGAGATGTGAATGTTGCTGGAAACAACAAAGATTTGGGTGAACACCAGATCCAGATGGCAGACGCATCCACTACCACGTTGGAGGGTGGATACCCAACTTCTGTCCAGTTTGAAGGTCTGAATTTTGGGTGGCACATGGGTGATCCAGGACTTGGACGTAGTTACTGTGACACTTTACATGGCGTCAATTCATTACACACAAGAGGATGCTGAAAAAGCCAGGGACTAGATGACCTTCTCTCTCCTTTTGACGGTGTGTGCTATCTATTGAGAAGGTTTAAAGAGCTGCCAAATTTGGGATTTCAGAATCCTATAGGTTTCTTCTAAAACTCGGGACCCAATCTAATTGGCCCACAGGTGGTTCATAGGATTGCTCAATGGAGGTGTTTTGATCTTAAGCCAGTGTGAGTAAGTGAAGGAAAAGGTGTGCTAAGCTGCTATTTTTAACTCACAAGTCCTTCTACAGTCTGATTTCAGCATGGTAAGTAGGATTGGAAGATGGGTGCCTTTTGGACACCATTTAAAGGAAGATTCCACTGTGCAGATCTCCCTTCAAACCCTTACCTCCCTCTATATGCATGCCCCAAATCCCTTGGGCTGTAGAGGATAAACTGCTAATAATTCATAGAAGAAGCCATTTCATTAGTTTTCTTTACATATTTTATGTGGAAAAAAAAAGGTGGAATTATTTGATACCCTAGCACACTAGTCTTGTATCTGTCACCCAAATCTTGACCATCAATGTCAAGCATCAATTTTAAATCTTGATGTCAATACTTCAAAAAGAAAAGAATAACAGAAAGAAAGAAAATGAAAAGAAACAACAGTAACACAACTGCAACCTAACATTTAGACTTAAAAAACAAGATGCACAAAACAAAGACCGAAAAAATGGTTACATGGGGAACAGCTAAAAAATATGCAAATACAAACAAGATGCACAACCAGCAAGAATTGCGATAATGAAGACAGCAAGAGTAACTGCAATCGAAGTGAATGAGCACTCCACAACAACCATGGCGAAAACTTCCTCTTCCGTATGAAAACAATGAGAGAGAGAGAGAGAGAGAGAGAGAGAGAGAGAGAGAGAGAGAGACGAACTAATAGTTACGTAGCGACGAAGAACTAATACTATTCGTCTACAGTAGAAGACGCTACACAGTAGAGTACGACGACACCGACCGCCCGTACCTACTTTACC